GCTCAGATCTGTAAGATCTTGCGTATAGATCTATAAGATCTTGGGTACACGTATGTAATATCTTTAGCTTGATATCTGATCTTTTATGATCACTTTTATTGATCTTTGCCTCAAGCAATTACATCCGTCATACTAATAATCAAGGCTTTCTAGATCTTCAGTTAAAATTCTTCTGTTTAATCTATATTCGATAATGAGAAATATATATCTGAACATTTAGTGCAAGAAATTTTATGGCTCACAGGAGCAATTTTTATAGGTTCAAAGTATGTCTATTTATTCCAATTTAAATAAAGAAAAACTACAGCGAAAAATTTGTTATTTTCTGCTCTTACTAATATTTGCGTCCAAGTCTTTTAAACCGATCAATTTAAGTATTTTTAATACTTGTTTTTGGACATCGTGCTTGTTATCTTTTGAGAGAATTTACGACATTTTTTACCAATTCTATATTACCATTTGATCGTGATTTTTATTTAATGACATCAAATGGTCATGATGACATTAAATCGATGTTTATGTATGTAAAAAATTTTAATCTGATAGTTTAAACAATAATTTCTAAAAGTCTAGAAATAAAAATAACTTCAGCATTTTTGTCTTATATAATGTTTTAGAAAATTCACTATATGAAGAAGGAAGTCAGAGAATCTATCTAAATTTGAGATTTAGTTAATATTAAAATCTAAAAGGTCTTTGATTTTATCGTTTTCCCAGAAAAAAAATTGGTTTTAAGAAATTTGAATTTTAAATTATCATGTATATTAACTTAACATCAATCATCCGCTTATTAAGCACCAACCTACCATGAATACAAACCAGATTAGTCTAAAAAAACTTTGTTCAAACCCTACAAATTTTCTATAAATGATTTCTTTTTCCCTCTTTATTTTTCATAACGTTAATTTTATTGGTTGGCAAGTACCTCCATTGTTGGTAATTTCTCACATATCTATGAAATTCACAAGTTTATATGATTGAGTTTTGAAAAGTATAAAAAATAATAAAAACTAGTATTTGTTTTTCATGATCTTGACATATGAAAATCTTTGAACAGATCTTGCCAAGATCTTAGCTACAGACTTATCTGATACAATCAATATATAGATAAACAAATTATCTTTTAAAGATCTTGATAAGATCTTGCTTATAAGATATTTGAGTAAGGTAGAGTTTAAAAAAAAAAGTCTAACATTCTTTCTTTTCTTTTTTATGTTATATCTTAGAAATGTATTTTATTTATTAAGAAAACCAATTCAGATAAATCTGTTACTTCTTTTGAATTATTTTAGTCTATGTTTTCAAATTATTGACAAATGTAAAGAACAAAATACTATGATCAACAAAGCAAATACATCATAATATAATTATCATTGAAATATGTAAAAATCGAATTCTCTTATTTAACATACACTAATTTCTTTAATGATAAAATAAGGGAATCATGTGCTAATTTAACGATAGCCGTTCGAACGAATTATTATCTGCTTATGTATGATTTTTCTTTTTTTTGTTGAATGCTTCATACTGCAAATCAATTGAAAAAAACAATGTCGAATAACGATAATGGTTTGTGAATTTTTAAAAGTAACATATTGTAATATTCTTTTTTTTTATCTAGTATCTGCTGTTGAATCACTTATTATTAATGATAAAAATAAATTTACTGAATTGAATAAAAAACTTGATCGAGAAATAACTTCTTACGGTTATTTAAAAGAAACGATTGAAATAATTTGATGATTTTGAAAAACAATTTGCTAATATACAAACATCAATTGTTGAACTCAAAGCTTGGTATAGTCATGTAAGTAAAAGACAAAAAAATAAGAAAATCATATTATTATAGAAATTACAATATTTAGATAATCATCGAAATTAATAACGCAAAAATAATGCTTGTTTTTTTATTTTTCTTGTTTGTCTTCTGGAAAAGAAAAAACTTATTTGTTTTTTTTCTTTATTCACCATTTAGAATTATGTCATGTTTATTTTGATTTGATTAAAATAAAAACTCAAACAAGATCCAGTGGTTTTAATAAAATGCGTCAATGTCATAGAGCATTTTCACGTTTTAATAAAGATCATAAGAAGTCGACGTGAAAATGTTTGTTTTATTTTGATGAAACAATGACAATAGTTTTTATCAATTTTAAGTATTACTCTTCATCCACGTGTTTTATTACCATGAGAAACCGATGTACAAGAAATTCAACAACAAATTAGTCATACAATTGACTTTTGACATATTTGTCAAAGTAGCACAAAATTTTAAACAATAAATAATAAAGAAAATCGACGATGATATACATGAAACATGTCATGTATTTGATAAATATGGTATTGATGCTGATGAATAGTTTGTATCTAACTAGAAGCTTTTTTTAAAAAAATAATTTCATTCATTTTTCTATTTCCATTTAGATGCAACTGCGAAGATTTTATATGTATTTTAACAAATAAACAACGCAAAAATATGATCGATATTTTTGTCAATAATAAAACGAACAAAATAATGTACATACTGTCTCATAATAAGTCCAATTGTTTTTCTATGTAATCTCTATAGTTCATACATTTCTCTTTTTTTCCTTTAATGTTCTATTTTAGCAATATCTATGATTCGACATATTTCTTTTTTTTTATTTTTGTTTTTTTTTCTTCAATCTCTTTATTTATTATTATTGTTTCAGTTCGTTTAAATGTAAACTTAGATATGAATGACAAAAAAAGAAAAATTCTTTTGTTTTTTGTTTTACATTCATTGATTTTATATGAATGAAGAATTAGTTAAATTATTTATTATCATTGTATTTAATTGTTCAATACATATCTCATGATGCTACAAGGAAAAAACATCGAAATATCATACATTTATTTTATTTTACATCCTTTCATATTTAGTTCAATTTCTTTTATTTATTCTATTGAGTGATTAATTGTAATACATCTTCATCATGATATAGCTACATAATAAACGATAAAATAATACATCATAATGTTGTTATATTTTCTATGTCATAGTGGAGGGAACGAATATTAAACTTCATAGTTATTTTAGTACTAAATAAATAGAATAGTTTATCAAAGTTTCACGAAGACAGTAGTAAATCATTATTTTATATTTTTCTCTCTTATTAATATTGGACAAAAGTTGCATATGTGTGAGTCATTTATTATTCTCTTTTATCATATGCTTGCTACGTATCATTATAATGGGCTCTCTCTTTCTCTCTATTGTTCTCTTTTAACATCATGAAGAAGGACAGCAAGAGAAAAAAGAAAAAAAGAAAAAATACATGCACAAGTCGATCGATCACTTTGTTCGTTCAGCACGAAACAAATATCATCACCAACTGTAATGCACATTATATCAAAGATATCAATACTAAATTTCTCTTATTGATATCACATGTGTGTATGTATCTTGTTCTGTTAGGTTAGATTATCTTTTCTTGTTAAATTATCTTCTCGTGTTGTAATATTAATTTTTTAAGCTCTGTTTAATTTGGTTTTTATCTCTCTGTTTTTTGTCTCATTTCTTTTTCTTTTCCTTCTCGTGTTACTTACACGTGTGTATAGAGAATAAATCGATATGTACATGTTTTGTTTTTCATCGATAATAATAGCTTCATTTTCTACAATGTCAAAGTTTTATTCAATAAAAAGAATAATAATAATAAACTAAAACATCGCTATATTCTTCAAAATTTGATTAAAATCATAACTTTTACATAGATACAATCAATTTCATATGTTGTAATAGAGAAAATAATTTATAAATGTCTTTGAAATACCGAAATAAAAGTGAAATTTATTTGTTTTTATCTGATTGTGTCTATTTGATACATAAAAAAAGGAGATAAGCCGATTCATTTGATTTGTTGTGATACGGGAATTGAAGAAATGAAAGAACAAAGCTAATCAATCTCATCATTAGATTCATCTAAGCAAATTTTCTTCTACTATGACTATTATTCGCAAGAAAGACAATATAGATCTTGTTTTCAATGTTTTCCAACTGACTTCTAAACCTGAATATTAGTCAACTGTATCACCATTGCTATGAATTTGTAAAAAACAGATGACGACTTTTTTATTTCATCTACTATAAAATGTATAGTTCAACCATTGTAGAGGATGAAAATTTATGCGTTATAATGACTTTTGTCTTTATTTGAAACATTCAAGTTTCTTTTATCATTTGCCTATTCATCATCATTCTCTTTCTGTCTTTTCTTTCTCTGTCAATTGTCTTGAATTGTGATGTAATTGAATAAAACTTGATGTGCATAGCATCGATAGATTTTCGATATGTTAATTTTCCGTCCTTTATTTTTATTCTTACTATTCACGTCTTGCTTTTTTATATTGATGGTTGATGCGTTCTAAACATCACATGTTAGATTGTTTACCAACATTACATACAAACATTACATTTAGGGCTGTTGTCTCACTCTTTCTCTCTTCCAGCAGTAATCATTAATACTACTTATAGCTGTTGGTCTAAGCTCAGACACAAGCCATTCAATGAGTAATCTAGCTTACCGAAACAATCTGCTCTCTCTTCCTCTCATTTTCAACGACGTATTATGATCAGGGTTGCCAAATCCAAATTTTGAAAACCAGGAGTGCGTCCCACAAAATCCAGGAGTTAACCAGGGAACTTATAATAAAAATTCAGAAGAAAAACCAGGAAGTTTTTAATCAAAGTTATGAATTGATTTGGCAGTTGTGTTTTGAAGAAAACTACAATGTCTGTTAACATAACCGTTCATTATTATCTGCTGCTAAGCTAGTAATGAAAAAACTTGTTACTAAGTGAAATGAAAAACAAAAATAATTATTATCATTAATCATAATCATATATATTTTTATTACTAATCATTTCACAATTCATACATATACAAATACAAATATACGTAGAAGATAAAGTTTACTTAAAAACTAAACTAATGTACATCAAAATAAATAAACATAAATGTAGAATAAAGTATCACCTAAACCTTACGTGGCACTTTTGCAATATGACTGTATTTTTCTGATGAGCGAATTTGTTTCAGTAGATCTGGATTATTGTAAAGATAATTATAAAATTGTGTATAGCCATAATGGTTATTCATTTTAATTTTTAGTTCTGCACCTATAAGTTCATTCTTCATGTTGTTTCGATGATTGTTCCATAAAAATTTCATATGACTGAAGATTGATTCACAAAAAGCATTTGACGCTGGTATTGAAAAAGCAAATTCAATTAATTTTCGTAAATTAGGTACATTTTCATCATAAAGAAGATAAGCCCATAATTGATCACATCTTATAAAATGATTTTTGTGTTCTTTATGAAATTTAACATCTTGTTCTTCATTATCTGTATCACAGTTATTTTGAACGTCGATGTCGCATACATTATCTAATGTTGTATCAATTTGTTTTGTTGAGACTAAATTTGATGAAATAAAATTCTGCACCTGTTTATAAATTCCACCAAATTTGTCCTTGATTCCAACATATTTTGATCGAATATAATTGAATTCGTTGTATAAACAATCTTTATCAATATTTGTGGTATTAATATATGTAGTACAATATTCAATACTTTTCCATTCAATTGTTTCAATATGTGTTTCACTAAAAATTGATATTGATTTGTAAAATAAAGAACGATCTTGGTAATAATTTTCAATATATTGGATAACTGTTTGAATGAATGATCGAAATGATTTTTTTAAATCATCAACTTCAGTTGGATGTTGAATTTTTTCTAATAAGTCCATCACTTTAGAACCAAAATAATCATCACGTAAACGATTATTTAATCTACGTAATAAATCTGTTATTATGGAGTATAAAGTAACACCGGTTGTATAATATCTTTGTAATTGTAAATTAGCTTCTTGTACTTCTGTTAATACATTCTTCAAAAAGTATAATGAACATTCAGCTATTGGAAAAGTCGAACACAAACATTCAAACACATATTTAAAAAAGTTAAGTTCTTACCTTTATTTGAAGTAAAAAATTCTAGTAACAGTTTTGGACATTGACCATGTGCAATATTCAAAAAATAGCTTTTAATCACTGGATAAACAATAATTAAACGTTGAATTGATTGTAAAAGACTAAGCCAACGTAAACGAATATGTTGAAGAATAACCTAAGTGTATGCTCCAATGTGAAATAAACTTGTTTAACATCTCGAGATAAATAGCTGATTCAAAACATTTGAAATATAATTAATTACCTTCTGTTCTTGTTCAATAAAATCAAAATAATTTGATAATTCTTCTAAACGAACTGATGACCTGGAGAAATGAGCATAAATTTTCAACATAGCACTTTCAATATCAAATAAAAGATGATCATTTCCATGTTTAACTGAATTGTGACAAATGTGGCAATAACAATTACCTAAATGCGAAACAATAGACGAGTCATTTAATAAATTTTAATATTATCATATTCTTTACCTTGTATTAAACCAGATACTAACTGATTAAATAAGACAAATACACTATGATGTTGTCCAATGTTCACGTTCGTATTATCTGATCCAATTTAACTAAGTTGTTCTAATTTAAGTTCATTGGATTCTAACACATATTTAATATTAAAAAATAATTTATCAGCTGTTTCATGTTGTTGTTGGATAAACGCAATAATTCCATGATTTATTCCAAATGTAGAAAAATATTGTGCAACAATAGGTAACATTTTTGCATTTCCTTTAGTTGATGCATCATAAGAAATGGAAAAATACGAAACATTTTTAAGATCTTGAATAATTGTCTTTGTAAATACTGGTGCTAATACATTACAAGCTATTTCACGTGCCTAAATGTGAAATAAATCACACAAATTAAAAAATTTAACATGATTATTATTCTTTACTTTGGTTTTATCATATGTTATATTTTTTGCTATAGAAGAATCTGGAAAACACTTTTTCATCATATTGATGGTGCACGATTGAGACAAATAACTATGTGAATGCTTCACGCCGTGAAATACTAATGCTCCTTCGGCAGCAGACAAGCGATTAAGTTCATTTGTAGTTGTACTAAAGGATGCATCTATTGTTTTTGCTATAAAGAGAAAAAATAACAATAAGAATAATCATATTATCAAGAATAATAGAAAAAAACATTACATTTATTAGCTTCAGTTGATTTTACACAATCTTGGTGCTTTTTTGTTTTCATATGAGTGTTAATATCAGTTATACCACTATTTTGGATCGAGAATTGTACATTACAAATGCAACATAATGCTTTTGTTCGATCATTTTTGCATTCTTTTAAAAACGACGAATATTTTGGATTCGATAACCATTCTTTTTTAAACTTTGATATGTAACGTTTGGTTACGTTGATAGATGATGATGTAGTTGTAAATTTAGAATTATTTTTACGTGAAGCAGAATCAGTATTTTTCACTGGTTCTGATGAAGGTGAAGATTCTGGTAAATGATCTTCTTTCAATGCATTTGATACAACAATAATTTCATCTTCTTGTTCTTGTGTGGAAGACATTTCATAATCCACAAAAGATTTTTTACTTACAATATTAAAATTTTAGTAGCTAACTGTATGACGCGATGGATAAATGGATAATTTACGATTTTTTATTAGAAAAATAATGAATGTTTACACAAAAGAGAGATAAAGGAAAGGAATGAACAAGGAAACGGTCGAGAATCGTCTTTTTTCTACATAACAAGAACAATTAAAACAATGATTTCTCCTATTCAAGGAAGAAAATACGTCCGTAAGAATAAGTAGATTAGTCGAATCAGAACAAATAGGAACAGCTGACCAGAAAAGAAAAGAAAAGGAAAAAAGACAAGAAGTTATCGTTCTATTCTATTCTTTTCTGTTCAACTCTCTATCAAATAGTGTGATATTTCCTTTCTTCTTCTATTTTCCTATCTAAGTGATTTAAAAGATTTAATGAATATGTAAATAATGCTCAAATTGAAAAATTTGTAAAAAGCCAGGAGAAACCAGGAGAATGTTTTAAAAACCAGCCCCTGAAACCAGGACATTTTTTTACCAGGAGAATAGTCTAAAAACCAGAAGTCTCCTGGGTAAATCAGAAGATTTGACAGCCCTGATTATGATCAACAAGAGTTACATCTATTTCACATGAATCCAACAGCTTTCTACTGTATAAATAAAAATTGTGTAGCTTTTCATATTCTCTATCTCAAATATGTTATTTATAGAGAAGTGATGAAGACAATAGAAAAAAAGATATCTAGTCATCACAATTCAAAAAGACGATGTCTCATTCCTCTCATGTAGAAGCAGCTCTTCTAAAACTTTCCCATAGAATAAAAGAATTCTTCAATGCGTAACAGCCAGTGTCTTCATGAAAGACATGTAAACGGTCGTATATCAATACAGTGGTATTTACTGCTTATTTCCTTTTTCTGGCCGTCGGCTTAAGCAAAATAAGTTTAATGCAATGTTTATATGGTGTTCTATCTGTTTTTCTTTTCTATTCCCGTTTTTGTTTTTTTTATTTCTTTTTTATTCTTTTCCATTCTCTCTCTTGCGCTATGTGCTTTGTACATTATTAAAAAAATCCTGATTGGTTATGAAATTTTATTGAAAACTAATAAATGCTACAAAAAAATGAAAAAAAAGAAGAATTGAAGAAAAATGGATATATAAGAAAGTTAAATAAATAGAATGAAGTAAAAAAAAGCTAACTAAAAGTAAGAATAAAGATAATAGCTACACTAAGCGGGAATAAAGTTCTTGAAATTTTCTTGGTTAATGAGGTAAAGCCAGAGTGAGTTCGTGCTATTTAGGAAGAAAAAGTATATTTATTCGCTTTGTAGTAAAAGTTTTATGGATGTTTAACTTACTCATTTAATGATAAAGGTACCATTCAAATATGTTCCTGGCGTAGACAAAAATTATCCAAATAACCGTTTGATTCTGTTTCACATAGCAAACAAATACTACCAAAGAAAATTGTATTCATCTCTGTTACTGAATCTCATGCCAAGCCTCGACATTAATATCATTAATCATGTTCATCTAGAAGGTAAATGGAACCAAGCCAGACGTCATACCATTATTGCTTCACTTTTAACGTATAAGTATAAATTAAATAGCGAAAGCAAACAAACTATGGCAATTAAATAATGCACACGAAGGATTGATTCTTCTATTTCCATCATGTCCATACAAAGCTACAGCTTTAGTAACTCCATCGAAGCATCATTCTTAGCAGCTTCTACCTACGGAACTACTTCTCACCTATTCCGTTCAATATCCCATCCTCATCGAACTATACCATTCATTCTTTCACACTGCATAACAACTGAACTTGATCATCTATACTTCCATTTATCTATATCAGTATTTCTATAAGGAAAAGACATCTTCATGTTTTTATCCACAATTACCTATCAAACGTATTTACCACCTGAAAGCTTCATTCGACTATCCCATCTCTTTTCTAGAGAAGCCATCTCTCGAAAACTTTCATCAAAACTCAAACAATAAGTAATTATTACTAACAAACACTCTATTTATCTCATTGATTCCCATCCAAGTGAGGCAATAATATTCAATTTATCACCAAACATAATATGACAAATGAACATATTTCATTAAGATTCTATTCATCTTTTTAATTCGTTTCGAAATATTATAATTGCATTGAAGCTAAGAGTAAACATCATATGACAAATCAATACAATTCATAAATATTCTATTCAACTATTTGACTCGTTTCGAAGTGTTACAATGGCGTTGTATCTATGAGTAAACATCATAGGACAAATCAATGCTATTCAGGAACACTTTATTCGTCTCTTTCATTCGCATTGAAGTGGTAAAATGATATTGAAACTATCAGTAAACATCATATGACAAATGAAAACTATGCAGCAACATTCTGTTCATATTTTTCATTTGCATCCAACTGGTAGAATGATATGGAAAGTACGAGTAAATATTATATAACACATGACTACTATTCACCAACATTCTGTTCATCTCTTTGATAAGCTTCAAAATGTTAGAATCATGTTCAAACTACGAGTAAA